TGGTATCAAAGCAATCACTTTACTCTCTTTCTTGTCTCCCATTTTTTTATCCAACAGGAAAATGGTGCCATTGGGTTAACAGTGTCATTTTAAAATGCCATAAATTAAATAAGTTAGTTAGTTCACATTTTCTTTTCCCCCAGCACTTAAATTACAGTTAGTCTCTAATGTGCTTTTGAAGCTTGTTTTAACAGTTCCAGGTCTCTTCTGCGAACAGTGACAGTTCTGGGACAACCATATTCATCCAGCTGCAAAGGTATGAATTGTTCGAGCACCCCGAGGCCCTGTCCAGCAGGACTGGTAAAGAGCTTAGTCCACGATGGTTTAAAGTTTCCGCAGAACCCCAAAAATATGGTACTCCCTAAAACAAAAACCAACAACAATAAAAAGTAGAATGTGTACAGCTACTCGTTCCAGCCGATCAGAACCCATTCCGATTATTTATCACGTACGAATGAATGACGGAGGTGATGAAGTTGAGCAAAGCAGTTAGCTATGAAAGAACTCCACATCAGCACCCTCCTCTTACCCCAATGACAAACCACAAACCACATCCAACACACTTCCTCTAGTGTGGAACCACCACACACCACCCCCTTATTTCTTAATGGTACCCACTCCTGCAAAGCAAGCCCTTAAAAATGGTCTGGTAGCTAAATTCCACCATAAGAGTGTATACGTTGCTGGCCTCCTAGGAGCTTCATAGACTCACGGGAATACAAACCTTTGTTATAAAGATGAGCTGGTTTGGCTAATCCCAGAGGTACTAATGAATCTGAATTCAACTGCTTTATTTCTCCTCTTGTGCTCAACAGAACAATAGATCTGTAGGTAAAAATCAGAGCTCATGTCAATCACACCTCATATATTTTAATACCTTCCTGAATAGAATATAATACACAGAAATAGTAGATGAAAGCAGAGCTCGGAAAAGAAAAAAGCCTAGATGCTTTGTTTTTTAAGGTGGTGCTGGCCACAAAGGTTTAAAATAGTTATTATTATTATTATTTTAAATTTTGCTTTAGGGCACATGCACTTACCACAGAGAAAAAGAAAGTGAGAAAGCAAGTTGCCAGGTCTGGGACTTGAACCACAGTTGGCCATGTGGGAGTCCAGCACCTTAACCACCCTGGCTGGCACCTGCTTGCCCCCCAGATGCTTTTTCACCCCAGCTCTTACAAATCCTCATTCCCTTCCCCACTTGGAACTTCTCATGCTGCTATTACAAGGGGTAAAATGCAGGGAAACCAGAGTAGGAAAAAACAAAATCGAGAAGTCCAGAAGCCACTCAGGTAAATGACCTGGTGGGCTTGGGGCACAGCTCTTTTACAGAATAACTGATTGTGACATGGGAGGATGCTTTTGTTTTAGGTGCTTTATTTATCTATTTATATTCTATTTATCTGATTATTAAGTAAATGGGTAAACACCAATTCTAAAAATAAACAAACAGAGCCTATTCTTGCTTGAAACTGCCATCTTTATGATGCAGTCAACCAACACATGTAATCCGATCTGCTTATAGACTCTCAATTCTCTTGCCCTAATCGAGAAAAAGAAAGTGAGAAAGCAAGTTGCCAGGTCTGGGACTTGAACCACAGTTGGCCATGTGGGAGTCCAGCACCTTAACCACCCTGGCTGGCACCTGCTTGCCCCCCAGATGCTTTTTCACCCCAGCTCTTACAAATCCTCATTCCCTTCCCCACTTGGAACTTCTCATGCTGCTATTACAAGGGGTAAAATGCAGGGAAACCAGAGTAGGAAAAAACAAAATCGAGAAGTCCAGAAGCCACTCAGGTAAATGACCTGGTGGGCTTGGGGCACAGCTCTTTTACAGAATAACTGATTGTGACATGGGAGGATGCTTTTGTTTTAGGTGCTTTATTTATCTATTTATATTCTATTTATCTGATTATTAAGTAAATGGGTAAACACCAATTCTAAAAATAAACAAACAGAGCCTATTCTTGCTTGAAACTGCCATCTTTATGATGCAGTCAACCAACACATGTAATCCGATCTGCTTATAGACTCTCAATTCTCTCTCCCTAATCTCTCCTCTATCAGCATTTTGCTGTTTTAATTACGCTTTCTGGTTTATTTTATTGTAATATCTAATAAGACAAGTCACTTTTTTACTGTGATTTGTTTAAAAATATTTTACTACTTCGCCAAATGCATTCTTCCAGATGAACTTCAGTATCAACTATCAAGTACAACAAGTAATCTATTGGAATAATAATGGAAATGTGTGAAATTTACATTTTAATTAGGAAGAGTGACATCTTTATAATATTATTTTTTCCATCCAGATATAGGGTCACTCTCTTTGCATATCCTTCAGTAATGGCAGTAATGTATTTTCTCTTTCTCTCTCTCTTTTTTTTTTTTCTTTTCTTTTTTTAGGTTTCTGCCATAGGGTGTGTGTGTGCTCACCAGAGAGAGACAGAGAGACAGAAAGTGGGAAAGTGAGATATCAGCCTCCAGAGGAGATAGACCCACCACAATTCCCTTCTCCAGTCTCCTTTTGGGGTTTTAGACACATGCCTGGAGTGATTTTCAAGCTGCAGAGTCCAGGAATCAAACCATGATTGGCCATGTGAGAATCCAGTGCCTTAACTACCATGCCACCTGCTGGCCCCAGGAACTTATTTTCTTAATATGAGTCTTAATATTCCTTAAAAGTAAGATTCTCAAGTTTTACATGGGTGTGGCTCCTTGGTTTACTCTTTCTAAATTAGCAGTGACTCAATTTAGAATATCAGTGCAGAGGACTGATCACAGCAGGCCCGGCCTTCAATCAGTCATAATTACCCAGGCCAATCTCTTGCGATGCCACGCACATGTGCATGCACACCCTAAATCAGGACCAGATGAGGAAAAGGAACAAAAATGATTGTGGCATGAGTATGCCCACTGTGGCGGGGTGTTTTCTCTCTGACAAGTACATGTGCCCCCTGGCAATTAAGAAAAAGAGAGACAGAGAGACAGAGACCACTCAGCCACTGAAAGTCAATGTACTCTTCTCCAGTATGTCCAAGCGCTGGGATGGTGCCCTCCTGTCACAGTACAAGGCTGTAAAAAAGTGCATCCGTGCAACACGTGGCCGTGAAGGTAAAACTGCCTCCAAATGGTAATTAGCCTTCTGCGTGAACTGAGTACAAAGTAGACCCAAAATATACTGCAGAGTAGGACAGTGGGCCCTGGCAGCAGCACAGCAGTACAACATAACTCTGTGAGGCTGACCCATACGCGAGGGTTCTGGGTTTGAGTCCAGAGACCTTCTTGTCCATGTCAGGCACGTGCGTGACTCAGGAATGGCTGAGGCTGGGGATGGACTGTGGATGGACTGTGGCATGCTGACCCTGCTCGGACTGCTTAGTAGATCAGCAATGTTCCAAATAATGAGTTTTTCTTCTTCTAAGAGCTCTCCCACCATTTGCAAAAATCTTCCAATGTTCAAATTCTGCCAGTTGTCAACAACGGCTTATCAATGATAACCAACTTAGACCACACAGCAGTACATCTGAGGTGAGAAAGGAATGAATCGACTTTTTTCAGAGCCCTGAAGCCCACCGAGTAGACCACAGAAGCTCTGACTTAACCAGGTGTTATCTGTTTGAAGGACTCTATTTTAAGATGGCTTGTTCCTGATACAGAGCAGACTGGGCCTACCTTGGAGGGATGCTGGTTTTTAAATACTCTTCCATGTGACTGATATCAGCAAGAGAGAAAAACTTCTTTTCTGTCAACCGGAATGGGACGCTGCAGGCATCCACAATGAGGAGAAGGACACCCGCGCTCCGGAAGGTAAAGTCGGTGCCGTTGACCTGCGAACATAAAAATGCCTCTGCCATTACCACAGTTTCAGGAACATCTCCCGGAGACTCATCTCTCCAGCCCCTTCTTGCTATCTGCAAAACCCATGATTCATATTATTTTTCCAGGACCCAAATCTCACTTATTCCCCACCAACATGTGAAACTGTGTCAGTGTTCCCATAGTCTCTGTCTTGACTGATCTCAGCTGACTGGGTAAGATACTCTGAGCAAGACACGACAGCCCCCACACAACTAAGCTGAGTGACTCTCTCTGCAGGGCCTGAGCCCTTCATTCTTACACACTCCAGGGGTGAAAGCTTTGTAAGTTAGTGATTAGATGGCGGCCTCAGGATCACAACTCAGATTGCTCACTAGGTATTATATTAACAGGGAAAAGAACATACATGCACATACATATGTGTGAAAATATGAGGAGGCTTAATAAAGCTGGTGGAAAGATGGAATGGTAGTATGAGTTTACTTTTATGCAAAAACAAAAAAAGCTGAAGTCCATAGTTTTTTGACAATCCACAAAGTACCCCAGAACCTGTTGCTTAAAGGAAACACACAACTTTTCATGAAAACTAAAGCAATGCTATGAGTATGAACTATTTGAAGACCCCAGGTATATCACCCCTTGACTCACTGAAACTTCCCATCAGAGTTTAGGTTTACAAAAGCGTAGAAGCCCAGGGACCAGAGGATGGTATAATGGTTATGTCGCTGGACTCCCATGTAGTCAACTGCAGTTTGAATCCCAGACCTGACAGCTTGAAATTCACTCTGGGTGTGTGTGCATGTGTGCCCCAAAACCCGAGAGGATATTGGAGAAGGGAGTATGGTGTGGCCTCTGAGGGCTGATTTCTTGCTTTCTGTCTCTCTGTGTCTCCGGTGAGCACACACTCCCTACAGCAAAAAACTCTCTCTAAAATGAAAACAAAATGTAGTAATTTTACTGGGATTTAAGCTACAAGGGGTTACCACATTTTGTTTCAAACTTATTGTGAGCTGAACTCTCCTAATCATCTACTTTAAATTAATGACTTTTGACCTTTTCATTAAAGGAGAATTCTAGATACTTTCAAAAACTAATAGCTCAACCAGAAAGAAAGAAAAAAACTGATTGGGCCAAACACTAATTTAACATAAATTCACTGTTTTTGTTTATAAATTCTAAATGATATAGGCTAAAAGCTAATGAAGAAGAAATGTTCTCACTTCTATACCTATTTTTGGTTGGGGAAATTATGGTAAACTCATTTTATTTCCAATCACTACTGATCTCATCAGAATTCAAAACAGAATTTTAGCTATGTTCAAATTGCTCTAATCCAGTAAATAGTTCTTGAAGTACTTGAAGTAAACTTTTGATTTTTAGAGATTTTTGCTATAAAAGGCACATGCGCTTGCTGGAAAAAGAGAAACAGAGAGACAGAAAGCAAGAAATCACCCCCTGGGGGGATGACCACGGTGCAATCTCTTCTCCTCCATTCTTCTCTTGGGATTTTGGACACATGCGCGCACATACAGGCACAAGTTCTAGCTACCAGGTCTGGGATCTGAGCTGCAGTCAGCCATGTGGGAGCTCATCACCTTAACCACTACACCACCTGCTGTTCCCCCTGAAGTAAATTTTATACACTGAAAGACTAGAAATGATTTCTTTATTTTTAAAAATCAAAATACTTAAAAATTGAGTTGCATCTAAGAAAACATATGTAATGATCCCCAACACATGCAAACTGTCCTTATTTAAAGTGCCTTTCAAACCTGTTAAAAGAAACACAAAACTTTTCATGAACACTAAAGCAGTGCTGTGAGGATGATGCCCAGGAAGGAATTTTCAGGTAATGCATGTGCAAAGTATTAGAAATAAATATGACAAAACACGGTGCTCTGTGGCTGATCTAGGGTCCCAGGCACCCAAAGTGCAGCAATGGCGTCAGTGCCTTTAGGCCCTGGAGCATAACCTGCCTGGGATTTGTTTTGTACCTTCTTCAACGATGCAGTGAGCTTGGGAGTGGGGAAACCCAGCACCCACCTGCTTGCTCCCCTACTGCAGCTCCCACTGGATTCCCTGAGTAGGCTGGGAGCCAGCTGCACCAGGACACTGAGCTACCAGATCTCATGCCCATCAAAGATTATCACGAACACGTTATGGAGTAAAGGACTGCTAGCAGGGGGACAGGTATCACTACAGACTTGGAGAATCTTTGTGCTATACTTAAGTAAGGGATATTCTTAAATCAGAGTTGTTAAGCAAGATTTAAATTCTGAAGCTAGATGGGAGAGGGTACACAATACTATGAAAGAATGTATTCTGTATCTCTGAAAAATACTTATGATGGCAAATTTCATGTTATGCATAGTTTACTATAGTAAAGACAATTAGAAAATAGTAAAGTAAAATTTTGTCCACATATATGAGGGGACTTCAAAAAGTGCGTGAAAAATAGAATTAGAGTATGAGTTTATTTTGGCGCATAAAGTTTTTAAAATCCATCCAGAGTTTTTGTTATGTGCCCATGAACTTTCTGCAGACCCCTTGTACATAGATTTGTGACTATGTTGCTCATCACTGAAAAAGACTGAGCCTCTAATGTGACCATGTGAAACTGGGTACAGTTCCTGGGGGAGAATTAGTTGGATGACTGGACACCTGTTACCCTAAAAGGTCAGTATAGGGGGCACCCAGATCAACCAGATTTGGGACAGACCACAGGCTGAAGCTGGGTTCCCAGTGGCTAACTTGACTGTAAGCTCCAATTCTACTGTTAGCACTAAGATTCATGTCTACACTTCTACCACTCACTCAGAAAAGACAAGCAACACTTTGTAAATTTACTTTTTTCAAAACAAACAAACAAACAAACAAAAACCCAGGAGATCGGCAACCTTAAAAAGCCAAAAAGATGGAAAAACTTTCATTTCTTTCCCATATCAAAAACAACTTGGAAGTTTATTTTAAGTTTCAAAAGATAAGGTTAAGTATAGTTTCAACATATTGACTGCCTATGGCAATTGTTTTTAACCAAAAATGATTCTCCTCTTCAAGAAATGAAATGAGTAACATGGAACACTATTAGTGAGTGGAAACTAATGTGAACAAATTTTAACATTCGCCTAAAAGTAATCAGGAAACACAAACTACTCAGGAAAAAAAAAAAATCATATGGGCCAGATGGAGGGATAGCAGTAAACATGATGCTCTCCAAGGCAATCCCACGTGAGAAGGTTCCTGGTTCAAGTCTAAAGATCTCTCTGAGTGGCACTGGGACACTGTTAGGATATTCTGTCTCTCTCTCTCTCACTTGTTTATGGAATAAATTAATTTAAAACAAATACTTGGGTTTAAAAACCAAGAAAATAAGAATAATTTATTTAGAAAATACAAACTTTGAGGCCAGTAGGTGGCATGGTGGTTAAGGCACTAGACTCCCACATGGCCGACCATGATTCAAGTACTAGACCTAGTGGCTTGTTTTCTCACTTTCTCTCTCTCTCTCTTTCTTTCTTTCTTTCTCTCTCTCTGGTGAGTACTCATGTCCTATGGCAAATAAAAAATAATAATAATAAAAATATAATTAAATAATTTTTTTAGAAAAACCCCAGGAATTTTAGAATGTGTCTATGCTCTGTCTATTGTATTGCTTGCTACCAGTAATTAAAATCTGGTTACAAACCAGTGGCTACTGCCAGAAGCAATCTATATCACCAGGATGGAAAATGTAAGCAAGAAGCTTAAGCCATGTACATATCCACTATGGCCTGAATGCTGTGTCTCCCAGAATGCAAATGCTAAGTGAATGATATCTGGAGGTGGAGCCTTGGGGAGGTGACTAGGACCTGAGGATGGAACCCTAATGAATGTAATTAATGCCCTTACAAAAGAAGCAAGAATGACTCATCCACGCTTCCATCCTGTGAGAAAGTAGTGAGACGCCACCATCTATGATCCACGCAACTTTCCCAAACTAACTCTGTTGGTGCTTTGACCCTGCCTCCAGAACTATGGGAGAGAAAATTCCATCATTTATTCCATCCACCCCGGCGATGGCATTTTGGTACAGCAGCCCGAACGGACGAGGACAGCACCAGATGGTACTTACAGAAATAACAGAAGGGTCTCCGCGCTGAGTTTCTGCTTTACCGGGTGACTGGAACTGCACGGGGAGGTAGCTTTTATGAGGATCACTAGTGAACACCACCTAGGCGGGGAAGAAGTTCCATATTTATAGTGACTGCATCTTTCTTCCTCAGCATCCTCAAAATAAACTCACTTATATCAAAGCCAGCGGTGTTTTTCTCTGCACTTTTGCACATACTTCATGATCTGGAATTCCATCTTTTCACAGTCTTAATTCAGTCACTGTCACGGTCCTCATTTTCTATGAGAGCATCAGGACAGTCATGACAGTTTTCTGTGTTTTCTATGCAAAATGCATCTTGACTTTCCTCAAGACCCAATAAAACAACCCCAGTTTCAAGTAAGCATAAAGTAAAACCAATTCAAAAAATGACTGAAGGAATGTGCTTCACAGTGGCCTGACCTCGTGGGCCTGGTGCTTATGAGAGCCAGATTACACATGGCCAACAGTGGTTCGAATCCAGTGGTTCATAAAACACGTCAAACTCATGTGCATGTGTGCCCCAAATCCTGACAGAATGGAGAAATGAAGACAAGATTAAAGTGTGACCATGCCCCACTGGAGGGGGTACATTTTTTTTTTTTTTGAGAGGTTTTTTGATATAGGGCACGTGCACTCTCCAGAAAGACAGAAAGAGACAGAAAGATAGAAAGCAAGAAATCACGCCCCCAGGGGGTGATGGCCATGCCGCAATCCCTTCTCCTCCATTCTCCTCTTGGGATCTTGGGCACGCACGCACACGTGCCTGGTGAGAATTTAAGCCGCCAGGTCCGGGACTCCAACCGTGGTCGACTACGTGGGAGTCCAGTGACATAGCCATTACGCTAACTGCTGGTCCCTGGGAGGTGCTTTTTTCCCCCACTCTCACCCCCAGTCTCTTTCTGGAAAGCGCATGTACCCTCTGGCAGCTTTTTAAAAAATGTGTCTGACAGGTAAATCTTTGTCATCATTTCATACAAAAATAGGCATGAATCTTTTTAAAAGTCCTTTTCAGTCCAGTCGTCCTGAATTGGAAATCAGCCCCTCTAGGACTGAGGAGAAAAGTTTAGATAACAAGGACTACCCCATTTGAAGACTTTCAGTGGCCTTGTACGTGACAGGGTCTCTGCTCCTCTCCAAGCCCTGCGCAGTGTCATAAATGGGGCCATGCTTTATATGCAGGCCCCTGTTTCTCTCTGTCTGCCACATTCAGCAGCAGGCCATTCTCCCACTTTCCTACCAGGGTTTGTCTTATTTCCTGACACTGTCTTTGCCAATGCCGTTCCCTTCCCGAGTGCTCTTTTTCTCTTTTCCTTCCCCAGATTATTCCCAGTCTCCTTAAAAGCTCTCTTCTCTTTCTAAAGCCCTTTTAGCTCTCCAACGATTTGCACTTAAAAGTACATTGTCAGGCCAGATAATAGCATGGAGGTGAAATAGACACCGTGAGGCTGACTCATGGGGAAGCTTCTGGGTTTGCATCCAGAATCCTCCCTGAGTACACTGAGCATATGCTCTAGGGATGGCTGGAGCTGAGAGTCAAGACCCTACTGAAGACTGAGTCGATGGCTTGATAGTTAAGACAGCAGGATCCTACATGGCCAGACCCAGCAGCTTAAGGAAAATGCCAGCATGTATGTGTGTGTGCCCCAAATCCTGATAGAACAGACAAATGCGTAAGAGGCTACGGTGTGACCATGCTCCAATCTCCCTCTATCGGTCTTCACTGGCGAGCGCATATGCCCTTTAGCAAAATTAAAACAAAAAACAGAACAAAGACCATGTTGGGGTTGTTACTGTTTTTTTCTTACTCTCTTGCTCGCACAAATCAATTTTTAAAAAGAGTTCACAGTTCATATAAATACAAGGAAACTTTAAAAAGTTCATGGGAAAGTGGAGTTAACTACAAGTCAAGTTTATTTTTAAATCCATCCATAATCTTTTCATAATATGCATTTCCATAAACTTTTTAAAAGAGCGCTTATAGATGTCAACCACTTCCACTGCAAGAACAAATAATCACTGCAATACTAAGCTGGATATTTTATTAAAGTCTCAGGTTTGGGGGGGGATCAAAAATTAATGTAATTTTTCCTATTTATTTCTAATATACATTATTTGGTTTTGACATTTAGAACAAAAACACCCAGGCTGGTCCCGTCACCCCTCTGTGGCCCAGGGAACTGGATCCTACGTGGCTGACCATGCAGTCTGAATCCCCATCCTAGTGGCTTTGAGAGCACACCAGGTTCATGTAGGTAGGCGGCCAGGGTGCCCGAAATCTTGAAAGGAGGGAGAGATGGAAGAGAAGAGACTGTGGCATGACCGTGCCCCATAAAGGGGTGTTTTTCTCCCTCTCTCTCTGGTGAGTACAGACATTCTTTGGCAAATAAATAAATAAATAACATTCTCAAATTTCCAAAAAAAGTAATGTTCCCAGATATCGAATACTTGCTATTGCACAAATTCAATGACCAATGACAAATTCAATGACTTTTTGTTTTGTTTGTGAATTTCTGCTGTAGGTGAGTACACTTGCATAAGACACAGCCAGAGACAGAGAGAGGGAAAGTGAAAAGACACCCCTGAGGGGTGACCATGCTGCACTCCCTTCTCCATTCTCTTCATGGGATCTGGGCATGCACACACATGCAGCCAGCATGTTTTTCAAGATGCCAAGTCTAGTACTCAACTGCATAGTCAGCCATGTGGAATCCAGCCATCTTAACCACCAAGCCACCTGCTGACCCCAATAATCAAAATACTGATTAAAAAAAATGAACTCTCGAGGCTGACAGGAGGTGTGTTGGTTAAGGGCACTGGACCCCTATATGGCCGACCACAGTTTGATGATCAGATCTGGCGGCTTGCTTTCTCACTTTCCCTCTCTCTTTCTCATTCTGTCCCTCTCTGGTCAAATTTAAATAAATAAATAAATAAAGTTAAATAAAATAATTCTTAAAAAAAAAAAAAGAGCTCTATTTAATGTTTCATGTGCGAAAAATAAAGAACAGGCATACAACTACTTAACAGGCTAGCCTAGAATATTTCCAATGACGATTACATTATTTTTTACAATATAATATGCATTATCTTATAAATCCTATAAAGTATTTTTAATAATGAAATACTTTCTTCAAAAACGTAGCTTGAGATTAGACCAGAAAATGTACTTCACAAAGATGATTCTAAAAGTGTCACTTTTAAAAAAGCTAACTTATTTCCTGAGAAAGAGAGAGAGAAAGAGAGAAAAAGAGAGAGGGAGAGTTGGATTCTCAGCAGGATCTTCAAAACAGGATCCTGCAGCCAGCCAGGTGAGCCCAGGACTTGAACCTGGAGTCTTCATATATGGTTTCCAGTATTGTGCAGCAGAGCCCCTACTGCCTGCATCCCATGGTTGGGCTTTGAAATGTCACTTTAACAGTCAAAATATCATATGAGACAGGCAAAAACCTATATATCCTTCTTCACATACATGAGCTTTATATGTGTGTTGGGTTGCTTGGGTTTTGATTTTACTTATATTTTAGAATAGAGGTGGCTCAGGGACATGAGAAACACACTGTGACAGTGAGGTGGCATTAAAAAATAATTATTCATCCCAATGGGAAGTGTAAATAAATCTTTTCCTCTCAGCTCTGCCACAAATGGACAAAGCAAATGAAAAAAGAAAAAAAAGGGGGGGGGCTAGGAGAATAAAGAGCTTCTCCATGTGCAGAACAAATTTTATTTTCTCAAATTGTTTAGAATGTTAAGAAACTATTTAAGTGGGTGCCAGAGGTGGCTCAGTAATTAAGGTGCTGGACACTCCCACATAGCTGACCATGGTTCGAGTCCCAGACCTGGTGGTCTTGCTTTCTCACTTTTTCTCTCCCTCTCTCTGGTCATATTAAAATACATGAATGAATAAAGAAAATGAAATAATTCTTAAAAAAAAAACTAAGTGTTTTCTCCATATTAATAGGCAGTATGCTTTTTTGTGGCAATTTTTGCTTTTTAAAAAATCCTCAAGCCAGCTGGTGGCATGGGGGTTACAGTGGCTAGATCCCACATGGCTGACTGCAAGGTCTGAGTTCCGGACCCAGCAGCTAGAGGGACACACCAGGGGCATGTGAGTACAAGCCTGAAATCCCATAAGGTAAAATGGCATGACTATCCCCTAGGGGGGTGCTTTCTCTCTCTCTCTGTCTCTGTCTCCAGCAAGTGCACATGCCCTTTGGCAAATTAAAAAAGAAAAAGTCTTCAGTGGAATGCAAATGAACATATAAGAGACTCCCTTGCAGGCCTCGTTAAGGCACACACCGCTGAGCCTCAGCCCGCGCTGCTTGTTGAACAGGACCGGGCAGTGTCCGGACACCACACTGAGAGACATTTGGCTTGCTCACATCTGTGTGTTTAAAGATGAAACAGAATCAGGGCAGTATTAGCTCTAGGGTTCTTTTTCATTAAGAACTAGCTTGACTGCATCTGGACCCCACGTGTATGCCCAATTTTAGCTCATGCTTTGGATTTACTTTCATTGCCATCATTTCTACAGATCCAGAGGTGGCCATCTCCTTGAGAATATGTCTAGAGAAGCATTTTCACTTCTAACCAGACATGTGTGTGTGTGCGTGTGTGTTTATATATATACATTTTGGTCCTTTCCTTTTCAGTTTTACTATAGGGCACAGTCCTGGACACCCCACCCCCCTTACCCCGAGAACACCAGTTTCACACACGTGCCCATAATCTGGGCTGAGTGAGATGGGGGATAGATCATGATATAAAGACCCTGTTCGAGGTACATATCCCTCGCTAACAAAAATAAAATAAAATAAATTCTCAATATATGTGTATATAAAAAAGGAAACAGGGCCAGTGAAGTGGCATGGTAGTTAAGACAGCTGGATTCCACATGGCCAACTTGCAAGGTTCAAGACTGGGACCGGATGGCTTAAAAAACATGCTGCTTGTGTGAGTGTGCATAGCCAAATTCCCGAGAGGAGAATGGAGGAGAAGCGACTGCAGTGTGGTCATCTCCCCTAGGAAGGGCTTTCTCACTTCCCCTCCTTTCCTTTCTCTGTTTCCCTCCTGCAAATATACGGTGCCTTATAGCAAATTTAAAAAGGAAACCATTTTTTCTATATATAATAGAATTTTTATATGAGCCACATTGTTTGAAAAGAAATTTCACATGACCAATAAAACAAAGGTATTTTTGTTTGTGTGTGTGTGTGTGTGTGTGTGTGTTTTAACACATCTCTGGTGTATAAACTCAATGGCAATATTGTAACAGGACCACACATCTGAAAAAGAAAAAAGGATGACCTTGATAGCGCCTCTCATTTCAAACCATGTAAAATCCATAGCCACTCAGGGTAAATTGATGTATCATGAGAGGAAAGTATTTTATTATGAATTTGGACTATGGGCATCACAACCTAGGATGGACCAAAATTCAGGAGACATCATCAAGTATAAATGAACAAAGATGTTTCTGAAAAACATGCTCCTAGGCAAAGACACCCACTGGCTTCTTCTCCAAGGCCACAGCCCACTCTTCTTGCCTGTTTACCTGACGGGTGCCACAGCCGTGGCAGGGTCCAGTGAGCATGGACGGCATGGGCTTGACCACGGAGGGCCTCCTGTAGAACCGTGGGTACGCTCTGGCCATGCAGTCACTGACGTCCTTTGAGTCTGTTGCCGCCTGGATCTTGACTCTTTCACATCCCTGAGATGAACAGTAACTGTGGCCATCCCTGTGGCTTTTGGCTTTGAGATACAAAAACAGTAGCCTGCACAGAACAGACACCAATTTATTGGGTATTAGAGTCACTCTCAAAAATTCAGAAAATGCCTCAACTTGCCTCCTGGCCAATAGGGATATTCCTCCAATGAGATAACTTTCCCTTTAAAATATAAATGATAAAACTAATAAAGTTATTTCTCTTTCCTTTCTCTCCTCCTAGGGTTTTGAGTCAAATATAATAATGCCACTGTGGAAAATATTTTGATACTATGGTTCAGTTCTGGAAGAGATCAGATTTGATTTCTGGTTTGAATTAGTTCAATAGGTAATTTGGAAGGATGGAATTTGGCTTGGCTTGAAATTTTCTTGGAAAACTATATTTGTGGTGATTTTGAGAATTTGTAAATAAGTGTGGTTTATTCTTATTTTGTCTTTTTTTTCTTTTCAGTTCATGAAGCATTTTGATTCAAGGTACAAAACTAGAAAAATAAAATAGCAACTCTGACCTGTTTGGCTAAGGCCAAGATAATAGTCTCAAATCAATTCCTGTGATGTTTACCAACAGCAGATGGGCCTGGGGTCTTCCATCTGTACTTGGGCCAAAAGCAGACAGTCCCTCCCACTCTAATTACCCATTACTGCCAAGATAAATAGTAAAATCTAACTTCTAGGCAGTAGTCTAATGTCAGTCAATAAACCCAGTCCTTCGAACTCAAAGGAAGTCAAATTCTAAAGGACTTACACAAATGTGATCGATCCCTGGAGATAACAAAATCACATTTTAATATGAGGTCAGTGAATAAGGCAAAGTTATAAGTAGAGGGTAAAAATCAGCCACTGTCCCAATATCCAATAAGTTTAATATATAAACATAAGGAGCGACAGAGACCCGACTAGGTATGGATTTTTGATATGTAATTAAAATAATCAAAATGAATAGAATTGAAAAGGATTAGAATTTAAGAAGTAGAGGGATTTTTTTTTTTTTTTGGGAGATTTTCACTGTAGGACGCGTGCGCTCGCCAGACAGACAGAGAGAGACATAGAGACAGAAAGCGAGAAATCACCCCCCAGGGGAGATGGTCACGCCGCAATCCCTTCTCCTCCATTCTCCTCTCGGGATCTTGGGCACGCACGCACACGCGCCCGGCGTGAGTTTTAAGCCACCGGGTCCGGGACACGAACCACGGTCGACTACGTGGGAGTCCAGCGACATAGCCATTACGCTAACTGCTGGTTCCCAGAAGTAGAGGGATTTTTGAAATACACAGACCAGAAACTATTTCCCATCTCTTTACACATTTAATCATTATTTCGTGGTCACCAGAATGTCCTTACAAACTTGGGTGTTTTGTTCATTTTTATGGAAAAGCAACTGGGAAAGTGGAAACTCAGTTATGTACCGAATAAAAGTACAGGTTGGTTAAGTCTAGTTAGAAATTGAAAATCAGGAATAATTATGATAGAATTTTTCAGCTGATCACATTGGCTGCTGTGGATCCTGGAAGGCAAATGTACTGTGTCTTACTGAATGGCAAATAGGCACTTCATGAATGAACGCCCACTTCACTCTCCCAGTCTTGCTATCTCCTCCCACTCTGAAATTTTTGCCTTTGCCCAAACATGCCATGCCACGTTCTTCCATGCTTCCATGCACTTATGCACACTGTTGCTTTTGCCTGGGAAACCTCACCCATCTTATCATCTATCACCTCCTGATTGTTCCTCAGGCGTTATCTCCAGTGTAATCCTCTCAGGACATCACTGGTTAGTCTAAGCTGATCTGAGTTACTCCAAAAGGCAGAATGAATATCCCACTATAGAACTTACAGCATTTAAACCTTTTGCTAATTACTTGTGTTGCATGCCCACATCCTTCAATGGACTGAATTAGCAGAAGAAAATGCTTCTTAATTATATCAGGATCTTTGTAGGATCCAGAAAACGGCACATAGTGGGAATGCTAAAGGAAGAAGACTGAGGGAGCATGCCACTTGCTGGAAGAGAACAGGAGAGTGAGCCTACCATAACCCCAAGGCTGAGAGACTGTCCTGGACAAAAGCAGACAAAGCCAACAGGACCCCAGGACAACAGGATTAGAATTAAAAAGTGGAAAGATGCAGCCTAGAGAAAGTTGAAAGCAAATATGCCATGGTTATACAGTGATTCAAAAGAAACTCAGGGTCAGTTTGAGAGACAGATTTAAGTCAGTAGGAAGTGAAAAGTAAGCATTCACTGAACTACAAACTAGATCACGTGTAAATAATCATCTTAAGAGTTGTCATGAAAAAAATTCTTTTAATTTTCCATTGGGCCTACTGGTTGTTCACTGACAGGGATAATTTCTCTCTCTAAATTGCCTTAATAGGCATACGGCAAACACGTTCGACGGATTTCGACTGCCAACTATAATTATGAGTCATTCTAGTCCCCTCTAAGCCTCTAATAGTGATGTGCGGAGAATTACCCACATCAGCTGCTTTTCTAAACAGCCATCACATCACCGTCTATTCTTAGCTATGCTGAAGAACTAGCAATTTTACCATTAAAGAAAAATAGCAATAATTCTTACTCCCTGGTTCCCCTGCATTACCCTGTGCCAGCGTCAAAGTAGAATTTCCTCTCGGACTGCTTCCTCTGTAATTCTTCCAGCGAATGCACAGGCTCATATTCTTCAATTTTGGATAAAGAGCCATTCTGCCGCTGCAAAAATCCAAAGGTAACCTGAAAACTTGTGTTTGATGGATAACAGAGGCCAACTCGAATCCAGTCATTCCTGTAAAACACAATAAAAAAATTAATTACATTTGAGCTGCTATCTTTTTGGTAATATAGCATTGTGTAAATTTTACCTGATTCTCTTTTACTTATGTATCTGCATTGAACCACTAACAATGGAGATTCTGACCCCTGATAACCCAATGAATCATTAGCCTTTTACCTGTTACCCAAATTTCTCATATTAACATATTTATAACCATAATATGGTCTGCAAAAATATTCTTGCCTTTAACAAGATTTCAAGGAATATGAATAGAAGCTGGATAAAATGTCCTTAAACACTCTAAACAGATAATAAAACTAAGTGAGGTGGTTGGGTATGTATTAAAATGGAAATACTAATTAGCCTGATAGTGGAAGTGTATACTGATAAAATCTGAAAGAATGTTTTTGTCTATCAATATGTTTTTATCTTTTGTAATTACATTAGGATAAATTAGTAGTTACACAACTGCTGGGTATAAAATTATAGATGTTCCTAAAGCTTTGTAGCATATAACCGAATTGCCATAATATTTTGTTAATGTCCTTAAACAATTTCCTTTTTATAAAATCATGAAAAGAATTTTTTCCTTTTATTGTTTTCTTTTTTAGACCTTTTCTATGATGATAAATATATATACCATAAAATTTATCACCTTAACCATATTTAGTTTTATCAGCAGCAGCATTAAGTATGTTCACAAGGTTGTGCAACCATGATTACTATCCATTTCCAGAACTTTTCTTTATTCTAAAGAATTTTTAAATAAATATGAAACAGGTTTTTAAATTGTTCAAACAGGTTTTAACCAATAATTCCACTAGAATGTAATTAGAAACACAAAAGATATCAAAGAAAATATGTTCTAAAAGATATTGTATTTCTAATTTTCCCTGCATTTTCATTATTTTACTCAATGACTAAATACATTTTTTATAACTTTTAAAGTGTTATTTCCAGAAGTGGCACTGTAACCAAAATGTATGACTTCTCTATAATTACATTAAGTTTGGAGGAAAAAAAAATTGCCCATATCTTTCTCTTACCTCTGCCAATAATGTAATTTTTAAATAAATTTTTAGCAATTTAACAAGAAAAATATGTTCGACTTTCAAGCCAATGTGAATTTTGAAACTTGCAGGGTCAGCTTTTTTTCACTTTAAAATGTTTTTACTGGGCTAGCAGGTGGTATGGTGGTTAAGGTGCTAGATACTACATGGTCAACCATGGTTTGAGTCCCAGACCTGGTAGCTTGAAAATCACTTGGCATATGTGTATGCATGCCCCAAATCCTAGGAGAAGTGGTTAAGGTGTGGCTATTCACCCCCCTGGCGGGGGTGGTGTGATTTCTCACTTTTCCTCTCACCATCTCTGTCTCTTCCTAGCAAGAGCACACACCTATGTCAAAAACCTAAAAAAAGGAAAAAAAATTTTTAATATTCAGTTGTCAGGAAAGTAATGATGCTTTTCTGCATACAAAAACACAGAAAAATATGTCATGACCTTCCCAATGACTTAATATTTGTTCAAAAATTTACATGGCGCAGGAACCAGCAGTTAGCGTAATGGCTATGTTGCTGGACTCCCTCGTAGTCGACCGCAGTTCGCGTCCCAGACCCGGTGGCTTAAAACTCACGCTGGGTGCGTGTGCGTGCGTGCCTAGGATCCTGAGAGGAGAATGGAGGAGAAGGGATTGCGGCGTGACCATCCCCCCTTGGGGGTGATTTCTCTCTTTCTGTCTCTCTGTCTGTCTCTGTCTGTCTGGCGAGCGCATGCGCCCTATAGTGAAAATCTCTCAAAAAAAAAAAAAAATTTACATGGTGCTTCACAGAACCCTGCATGTCATTTCATTATAATTGCTTATCTCAAATTCATAATCCTACCCATTACAGCCTTTTGGAGTATTGACCATATATGTATGTATGTATGTATATATGTATATGTGTATGTACGTATTTATTATTTGCTATAGGGTACATGTGCTTGCTGGGGAAAGGTTGTAGAATATGGTGGGGAGGGTAAGAAATCACCCTCCAGGGGAGATGGCCAAGGCAGAATCCCTTCTCCTCCATTCTCTTCTTGGTATTTTGGTGTGTCCAGTGTGTTTTTCAAGCCACCTGGTCTAGGACTCAAACTGTGTAGATGGTGGCCACATGGGATCAAGCTGCCTTAACCTCCACACCATCTGCTAGCCCCTGAATCCTGTATGACATTCCTTTATACTCTCTGAGAATCACTTGTTTCTTTCACAGACTTCTCTGTAACTCACTGATAATATCAGGCTGCGATTTCAACAACCTCACCCTGGACACACCCCTCATGAAGACAAAGGACTGAAGTGGGGAGATCCAGTAGGAGGTTGCTGCAGGGGTTTAACCAAGACATGATGGGAGCTTGGGGCTTAGTCACAAGCAGTGGAGGTAGAAGAAAACCCAAATGACATTAAGGAGCTGGAATCGACAAGGTTTGGTTACTGATGGAGTGGGAAGGTAAGGAAGAGAGTAGGGAATAAGTACTGGCATTCAGGCCATGGCTGACTACATCGGAGGATAGAGAAGGGGACAGAAGAAAAGTAGCCAGTGTTAAAAGAAAACAGTAATGATTCAGTTCAGAACAAATGGCAGAGTCTGCCTACTCAGAAAGCACATCTCCCAAGATGTTCACCCACACTTGGAAGAGCCCAACTTAGAGCTGAATCCCTGTATGTTCTAGACCATCTCTGTTCATTTCAACCGATGTCTTAAGGGAATTCTGTTAAGTCAGAGTTTTATGACCTGCCAGGTGAACAAGTCATTTCAGTTTTCCATGTACGAGTCATTTCATGGAGTCCCACAGGCTAAGAGCCACATGTATCTAGGTTGGTTTGCTCCTGCCTTTCAAAAGAGTCCCATTCCACCTTCCCACTTTCACTTTCTGTCACTTCCCTGATGCACTCTATGCTCCCAACACACAGAATTCACCATTCTCTAAGTAGAATAGGCCCTTTCCCAACTCTGTGTAAGGCTGATCACATAATTGGTATCATTTCCTCACTGTAACCAGGCGCAGCACTTTGGCAGAATTACTCATTCTATCCTTTGTTCTCTAAAACATGTGTTTTACTTATCTTATACCTGTCTACTAGAGGACAAGCATTTTTCTCATCTTTACATCAACTTACACATAGTAAAAAAATTAATTTAGGTTAAAACTAGAGCCTTGGAGCCCAGGCTACAGTAGCACACAGGGAAACCCCACTATCTGGAAGGCTGGAAGCCACATGGGAGGCAGAGGTTCAGCTCCCAGGTCAAACTGAACATGCCAGGTGCAGCTATACACACTTGCAATACTAGCTAATTGGGAGGCTGTAGTGGAAGGATCTTGACATAGTGAGAATGTCAAAAGTACCTTTCTCTTTCTCTTTCCCATGTG